ATAATTGCTAAGACTTGGAACCAACCCAATGTCCAGGAAGAGATGAATGGATTGAAAAAATTTGACACATATTCACTATGGAATACTACATAGCCATAAAAATGTACAAGTCCATGGCATTTGATAAAAAGTGGAGAAATATGGAAGATTTACTGCTGAGTGAAGCAAGTCAGACTATGAAAGAGAGACATCACATGTCTCCACTTAATGTATACTGAATGTCCACACTCTATGGTGGAAACGGAAAGACTGGAAGCATGGAGAACAAGCTAACTATTGATGATAATGTATACCTTTAACTGGACTCATGTGCAGTGTATGCATGCTGGCAAAATTCATTTTACAAATTGTTATGATATACAGTGATTAAATGTATGAAATAAGTTTTTAAAAAGATGCAATGTCACATGACTTTTCACTGATGACGTATTCACATTTCTGTGTATGACTGGCCATTTCCAAATATAATTTTCATATGTATGCAATATAAAATAGACTTTTGATGGAAAAAATGTCATTCCATGTCATAAAATTTACTCTTTACCTTGGGGCTGGCAAGTGGCATGGTGGTTAAGGGCACTGGACTTCCACATGGCCAACTGTGGTTCAAATCCTTGACCTGGCTGGCTTGTTTTCTCACTTTCCCTCTCTCTTTCTCACTCTGTCCCTTTCTGATCAAATTACAATAAACAAGTAAATAAAGTTAAAATAATTCTTTTAAAAAAATTACTGTTTACCAAATAAGGGACTAAATCAACCTAAGTCCATAAAATTATAAATGGAATGTGAACTTATATTCATTATGCCCTAATAGAGTAGATACATTTAAAATACTGTTTTTTTGGCAAATCAAATCAGTTCCTTTTGTCTTGGAGCTCTCAGTATCATATTTTGGTTCCGTTTATGATACTTGGCAGTTTCGGCTAATAATCCTATTTTTTAAAATGCTGTTAAAATTATTTTAGTAATTTCAGAGTGATATAGGTGCCTTGTGTTGTTAGAAAGAGTCCTTTAAACTTGATAAATCTGGAATCGGATCCAGTCCAACTGCATGTTAATGATCACACAAATCTAAAGTATACTCACATTACAGCATGTTTAATTTATGTGCTCTCAGTTACATAAGACTGACGAATGCGGGGGCGCAGGGGTGATCAGGCCCAGCACTCACAGTGAGACATGGGTTCTTGTCCCAGCTCAGGAAGAATTAGAGATGAAGACACAGAGAGTAGTTATAGAAAAACAGTGAGTTTATGGAAGGAGAGGGAAGGAAAAGCAAAGCTCCTAAGAGGGGAGGGTCCTGGAAAATGGGCTGCAGAAGAGAAACTGGGAAGAGGAGTTTTTATTTGTGTCCTAGGGGCCTTGTTCAGGCTTGTTCTGGGTGGGGGCTCAGTTACATATTTCCCTCATGGTGGGGAGGGGAGCATGATGGATGGGTCCAATTATTCTCTTAGTTTTAGAGTGGGTACATGGTCAGGAGAGTCTTTGTCTAGAGACTTTGGGCTATAGAAATCATTATCTTATCCTCTTCCTGGAATGTGGTGGGGTCTGGAAAAAGCCTTTGTTTTAGGTAGGTCCTGCTGCCTAGGTGAATCACTGAGACACTGCTCTAAGAGGTCTCTCTGAGCAAGCAGCTGAGATGCTTTGTTTCTGTTTTAAAGCTTCATCATTTTGCGGTTCCATTTTGGGCCTATACCCTAACTGTATTTTTAGGGTCCCAGTCTCCTACCTCAAGAGACACCTCATATACCCCACTATTGGCTGGAGGAATAGTTAATAAGTATTGTTTTTGTCTTCATTAAATAGACCATTTGGGGAACCAGCAGTTGACATAACGGCTATGTCACTGGACTCCAATGTAGTCATCCGCGGTTCAAGTCCTGGACCTGGTAGCTTAAATTCACACCAGGTATGTGTGCATATCTGTCCAAGATTCCAAGAGGAAAATGGAGTAGAAGGGATTTCAGCGTGGTCATCCCCCCCCGGGGGGGTGATTTCTTGCTTTCTGTCTCTCCTCTCTGTCTCTCTGGTGAGCACAAGTGCCCTATAACAAAAACTTCTACAAAAAAAAAAAATTACACAATTGAGAGAGGGAAAAAAATTATGTAAAAAAAATGAATGAATAAATGAATGGGAAAATGAGATATATTTTCTTATTGTAGACAGTGCATATTAATTTAAAAGAGAAACAAGAAGCTATGCCTCCCCCCCCTTGACTCCCCTCACCCACACCCTGAGAAGCCTGACATCAGACGGCGAGCAGGGCTTCGTTAGCACCCTGGAGGAAGAGGTCCAGATGCTGTTGTCAGTGTAGTGGCCATTAAACCCACAGACCTCTACCTGCCCTTCTAGCCATTCAAGGGGTAGGAAGGCTCTGTGATCAAGCTCACCTCCAAACATCCTGTTGGATTTGTGATCTTCCACAGCTGGGCAGGAGCAGAAGTGACCAAGAACAAACAGAACAGTATTCTCTTTGATCCTGAGAACTCACAGACCCTGAGGCTAGTGTTTTCCAAAGCCAACATCAAGATGGCCAAGAGCAACTTAATGGCAACACCAAATCCCACCAATGCACACCACCCTTGGAGTACTCTTCACCACCCCAACCTGATAGGGGCTGTTCTTATCCTTGCATCCCCAGAGGCTGGGACCCCTGACCCTCTGTACACCACAGAGCTGACCCCCACTATCTTACGTGGCAGTTCACATACCCAGCTGCCACTGCCACCTCCGCCACCCAACACGCTCAAGTGGCTGATACCCGTCTTCCGACAGCACACGGCAAGGATGGAAGTACCACTGGTTCTGTTAGTTCTTCAGTCTTGTCACCGGGAAGTTCTGGCAATTTGTACTATGGTGTCAGGACAGGTGTCCCCAGCTTCTAAGACCCCAGATAGATGGGCAAAACTGTAAACTGAAGCCCGCCTCAATAGACTGCTCCTCATTCCCTGCCCTCCTCTTCCTCAGCCCTGTTTGGCCCCAAAGCCTTTCTCTAAGGCCTTCCAGGAGAACTTGGGTGCCTTCTCCCCAGGGCACCCAGACCCTGATAGGAGGCCTCTCTAGGACTCCCTCAAGGCCTAATCTTTTACCCAAATTTGCTTCTGTAACTCCACCTCAAGGAACAAGACATTTTGTTCTGCATGTTTCTGGCATGAATTAAGACACTTAAACATGTGTATGTGTGAATGTACAGTTTCTTCTCACACTGTGTCACCATAGCAATAGGTCGAGGTCATTCCTGGCTCCTTGTGCCTGGATATCTCCTGCTTCATTGGGGATCGAGGCTTTGGCCGATTCTGTCCTGATGGCCTGGTATTTCTGCCCCCAACCCTACACAACTTTCCAGGCCCAGTCACCACCCAAGAGATACCTAGTGTTTGCTTTTACATTTCATATCAGGGCTTTCCACTCCCTCCTCCTCAGGTTGGCCCACCATTGTGACAAAATCCCGTCTCTGCCTGAGTTGCTTACCTCTCTATAGTGGGCCCCCAAACCTCTGGAGTCGGCCCTCTTTCTTTCCAAACCTCAAAACCAACCGAAATGTGAGAAGTATTTTTGTACTCTGTATAGAAAAATATTTACACACCATAAAGGACATTTTTGTGCACGTACCATTAATTATTAAAGAGGCCGTACTTAGCCTGTCAGATAAGTTTAATGTTTAGTTTGAAGAATGAAGAAGAAAATGGTTTCCATTCTTCAGCGTGGAGCCTTTGTGTCAGGTGTTAGTGTAAGGAAAATGAAATGAAGAAAGAACTGTGTAATTGTATTTTGTTTTGTGAGTGTAACTGTGCTTTACCATTGGCCATAGTCATGTGCATCTTGCTGGTTCAGATGGGAGGACAAGTAGCTATAGTAATTGATAATCCTGTGAAAACGTGAGACAGCATAATTTTTGAACTGGATAATATATGACATCCATAATAATAAAACAATCCAGGAAAACAAAAAGATGAGTACCTCTGGGGTCAACAGGTGACATAGTGGTTAAGGTGCTGGACTCCCACATGGTTGACAATGGCTCAAGTCCCAGACCCAGAAGCTTGAAACTCTGGCACGTGTGTGTGTGTGCCCAAAATCCAAAACAGAGAATGGAGGTGAAGGGATTGTGGTGTGGCCATACCCCCAGAGGGTGAAATCTCTTTTGCCTATCTCTCTGTCCCTCTGGTGAGCACCCTGTAGTAAGAAGTCTCTAAAACATAAAATAAATAAATAAATAATAAATAAAAAAATACTTCTACATACTCATTTCATTCTGGTTTCTCCTGGTCTCTTTTATCATCATTTTCTTTGCTATAGTTGGATTGTGATTGTTATTTACATTTTCTTTCCAAGAATTATATTTGCATTTTACATATAGCTTAGCTTAGTATCAAATCAGAGCTTAAATTTGCTCTTTCAACATTTGAAAATAGCCCTGTCTTGTCATTTTTATTCAATGTTGAAGTTTTACTACTTAGATATACAAGATTTATTCAATTTTGATTCCTTTGAACATTGCCTTAGTAGTGTTACTCAGTGTTGCCAAAGATGGTACATATTTGTTTCTCATTAATTCTTTATAAAATAAGTACAAAAATAAAGTAACTGCTACAAAGCTCTCAGAATAAATTGACAGAATAATTTTAATTATATTGAATCTAATAATAAAATAATTTACTAATTTGCACTTATAATTGTATGAATATCTTTATTTTCTATTCATGCCATTTTTTTTAATAATTCATTTTTAAAAAGGATCAGTCTGTGATACACTGGATATAAAGCACAAAACAACATTTACAACAAAGCAAAACAATACAAAAATCTGATTTTTATCTTCAGGTTGTTTGAGAAACATTTCTTGATGTAATCAGAAATTCTGGTCATGGAGACTCATGAAGTCTTAGACTGAGGCCCCATGACCCACATGCCTGAGTTTACCCATCAGGGGCTTGGGTTCTAGAGTTTACAGAGAACAGACTACTGTATTCATGATATAAAATTTTCCTCTAAATCATTTATTTTGTAGATGGGGAGAGTGTCATGGATTTACGTGTTAAGTAGGGATACACGGGTCCAGAGAAGCTGGCCTTGGTGAAGGAAAAGATGTGGGCCCCATCACTCATGTCATAGAAAGAAATATCTCCATCCCCATAATCCAAGAAAATCACAATCTTCTGCAGATTTTTTGTCAAGGGAAGGTTTTCTGGGGACTTTTCTGAAGGACAGGTGAGAGCTCTATATCCACCTTTCTTCTCTAAGACTCTGAATATTTTGGATGGTCCATTTTCACCTGTGCACTTCTCATACATTCCTAGAGTCCACTCATCAGCATCCGGAAGGTCCACCTCCCAGTAATATCTCCCTGACATAAAATCTTCCTGATCAAGAGTGATAAGATTGCTGTCTTCCTGATTATCATTGAGAGGTAGATTGTGTGTTTCTTCTCCACCATTCTCATTTTTTTCTGGGTCAGAATTGATCTGACGAAATGGTTCATAATTTATAGTCACTTTGGCTAGAGGAAGAAAAAGAAAAAAACCCAGCTATCATTGCACATTCTAGAAAGCTGTTATATAGGTGAAAACTAAAAGAAACAGAAAATATGAAGCTAGTGGTAAAACAATCTCTCTCTCCTCTGAGTATATGTTGGGAAACTGTGTGTCCTCTCACTGTGGGCTTAATGTACCTAATTGTATCTTATATTTTATTTATCTCATGTTATCTATGCTACTATAAGTGTCTTGGTAGAGTGCCAGGGTGAGCCAGGACTTACAGTGTTTACTTGAGAATATTCCTTTTTCTATCCTCTTCATAAATTGAAACCATATTCTTCATTAGTAACTGAACCTACATAATCTGCCCTCTTTAAAAATGAACAGCTGAGTATTCTTTCATTTTAAGCATTTTCCCTAAGGTCTTTCTTAGCAGGAAT